AAAAATATTATAATCATTTAATGTTATTAACGGTAAAAAAACAAAACTAAAATTTATTAGATAATTATTAATTAAAAAATGTGACCACAAATTAAAAAATTAAAATGGATAAATTTGTCAATAAAATTAAAAAATTCTAATCCACTAACGAATTGGTACAAAAGGCTACATAAACTAGCTTTTTCCATCCGCTAGCGATTTGGACCTTAACGCTATCCACTAGTCTCAAACCGCTAAATAAAAATTTTATCAAACATTTTAGTTGTAACGGTTTCGAAATATATAAATTTACCAAACACCTATATTTAGCGGTTTAAATAAAACTGCTAACCGTTATCTCAGAATCGCTATACCAAACGGGACTTTAGAGTGTATATTTTAAATACATATGTATTTAAAAGTACTTAGCCCTTTGGCTCAACGTTTAAGTGCCTTTTATTTTTTCAGACAATGGTTTAAATTTGGTCAATTGTAAAATTATTCAAAAAAATATATATATGTATTTAAAATATATGTATTTTAAAATATATTGTTTGGATTAAATAAATAAAATTTTTTTTAAATTCAAGTATTTTTAAATATATTATTTTAATATATTAAAATATTATATATTTAAAATTAAAATTTTCTCATTAAATTAAATTTTTTTTAATTATTATTTAAATTTAATAAAATTAGTATTAACAATTTTGATCGTTCAAAATATTATTTAAATTATTTCAAAAATAAACAAATTAGATAAAAAAAAAAACAAATTAACATCTAAAATGGTTGTCAACCATATTTATTAATCAAGTAGGTTTTTAATAGCCAATTCATGTGATTATCCAAATATATATAATTTTTTAAATAAAAAAGTCATCCTAATATCTTATATCCTATTCAATTAAAACATTATAATTAATTAAAAATTTGATATAGCAAAAGAGAAAAAACTTCCTCTATTTAAACATTTTCACAAAACGACTAACATTTTAGTATTCTCTGTCAAGGAGACAAAGGACATTTTACAATCAAATTCCCTTTCATATCCCTCTATAAACACACCAAAAAAAAAAAGAAAGAAAGAAAGAAAGAAAGAAAGAGAGAGAGAAAGAAACTGCTAAGGAAATCTAGCATTATAGGCTGTACATATATTTTCTCCCCTCAAATTTCTCTCGACTTTCTCCAAAAAAATTCAGAAGACGCTAATAATACAAAATTCTAATATTTGAGATCTCGCCTTAAAATAAAAGTTATCCTAAAAAGAAAAAAAATTACAACCATAAAAAACTCTCAAATACTAAAAAGAAAAAGTTAAATCAAAACAGATTTGAGCAAAATCAACACACAAACATGACCGTCGCTATGCATAAAATAAAATTCAAGAAAACAGAAAGAATCCAAGAACCAGCAAAAAAATAAAAAATAAAAAATAAGTAAACAAAAAACAAGAAAAAATTTAAACGGAAAACGATGCAGAAGAGAGAAAGAAAAAAAGATGAACCAAAGCTTTCGTGTTGCAGAAGAGAAATGCACGAATTGCATAGGGTTAAAGCTCAAGGTCCTTCCATTAACCAAAAATCAACAAAAGCTCAAGGTCCTTCTATTGAAATTCTCTCTTCTCCTTTCTTCGTCATCAATTCATCACCCAAAACCTTAATGTTCTTGCTTCACAATCTAGTTTTAGATCTTTCTGTTCCAATGGCAATCACTCGATTG